TTCGATTTGCACGAAATTTGGCACAGCGAAATGAATTAAGTCTTAAATGATGTCTGCTAAGTTTCGTGAAAATCGGTTCAGATTTAGTTATAGCTCCCATATATATTTTCGTCCGATTTATTGTAAATGGTGCCCCAAAGTTCCTATATATCTTTCGATTTGCGCGAAATTTGGCACAGCGTACTGAATTAAGCCTAGAATGATATGTGCAAAGTTTCGTAAAAATCGGTTCAGATTTAGATATAGCTCCCATATATATTTTCGTCCGATTTGCTTCGATTTGCACGAAATCAAATTGGAATAATGTCTGCTAAGTTTCGTGAAAATCGGTTCAGATTTGGATATAGCTCCCATATATACTTTCGTTCGATATAATAAAATGGTGCACCAAACTTCTAATGACAAAAAATTTTGCACAACGTATCAATTGATTAAATTTTTAACAGTCCGGCATACTCAATAGCGTGTATCATGTTAGCTATAAATCTATTTCCATAAATTTGTCCCATTGCATGCAAACATGGAAACATAGACATGAAATTGTTAGGATACATATGAACAATATACACAAAGTGGTGAAGGGTTTCATATAGTCGGTCCAGTCCGACTTTACTTCTTCCTTACTGGTTTTTGTTTTAAAAGAGAGTGTTTTTAAAGACCAGTCCGGGCGTGTTTTTTTTTTAATTAAATTTTTTGAAGACCAGAAGATAAACGATTTTATATACGTAGATTGTTTTTAAGAATATTGTTTAAAGACGAGAAGAGGAACAGAACATAGATTTAAAAAAAATTATTTTCCTAATTGGGAAATATTTTTTTGTAAATGTTTTCCTAAGGCCTAGATTAAATGGGTTTTTTAGAAAAAATATTTTTGTTATACCTTACAAGGCGTAAATTTCTTTAACATTTTTGTTTTGAAGGCCAACAACGTACATTTACTATTTTTGAAGATTTTATCTAATAAATTCTAATTAAATATATATATATATATATATATAAGCATAATTTTAGGCCCATCAACTAATTTTATGCCAAGCATAGTTTTAGGCGTCCTTTATTTAAAGAATATTTTCTAACTTTCTGTGGTTCTATATTCTGAGATTGAGCAACATTTCGCGATATTTTCACCCTTATGACCTAGACTAGAGGTCAACACATATTACTAACACACAGTACAGCTCTTGTGGGTTGTGTTCTGATGTTCGGCTTTTAATTGTGATATTCGGTCCACTTCATCCCAATATTGTTATCTGATTATCACCGAAAATTATTGGCATTGTCCTTGACCATACCTGGATCCTCATAGAAAATTTCAAAGCGATCAGCGTTATATTTTCGCCCTCTAGTGTGGTAATGGGTTACTAAATATATATGAATACGTAAGCACTTCTAAATATTTAAGTGTAACTGTCAATTTAAAGGTCAACCACACCTCTTGGATATACTATCAACTTCTCGGATATATGTCCTTCAGGAGTAAATATATACGCTATAGAATACAAATGTTGTACTTTTTCACACAAAAGTCAAGGTTCATTTGGCCAGCTAAATATTGGCCGATATATGCAAAATTTCGTGAAGATTGGTCCATAACTGTGGCCTATATCGTGTTTACAAATTATAATGGACAGACGGACAGAGGGGCACACATGTCTAGATCGACTCAGCTGGTCGAGATATGACGATCGGTATACTTAAATGTGGGTCTAGGACCAAAATTTCGCGGTGTTACAAACTCTTGGAAATGGCCAAGGTCCAACTTTTTGCATCTATTTTCCTGAAATGAATATTTTTCCAGAGTCGAATACAGCGTAGAAATTTTATAGACTACTTTTTTCATGAACCAACAGACCGAAGTTTTTTAAGGAATATTTCTCCAGGCATCAAGAAAACATAGCTGTTTTCCTAAAGTCAAAAAGGAATTGATTTTCCAAAAAAAAAAAAAAAAATTACATATTTTTCTAAAGACAATTTGTTCCGAAGGCCAACATCCTGAACTTGAAAATTAATATTTTTTAAGGCCTCTGTAAGTAATTTATTTAACTCGGTTGAATATATTTAAAGCATACTTTTAGACCCATCAACAAATTGTATGGGGATCGTACTTTTAGGAGTTTTCTCATTATTTAATTAAAGAACGTTTTTCCTCCAAAGGCCGCAACTATGGCCCAAACATCCCGAATTTTTACATAGAGAGGGGAATCGGGCCAAGGAATAAGCATGTCTGTTTTGATAAAGATTGGTCAATATTTGCGGGTCTAATGGTCCCTGACTTTTGTGTGAAAAATAACAAAATTTGTATTCTATAGCGTATAGATTTACCCCTGAAATACATAGACCCGATAAGATGATAGTATATCCAAGATGAATGGTTGACCTTTAAATTGATACCAATTATATTTTCGTATGTACTCGGATGTGGGAGTAAGACTTAAATATTTATATGTGCTTACGTATTATTTAGTAACCCATTACCACACTTGAGGGCGGAAAATGTACCATCGCTTTGAAATGTTCCATAAGGTTTCAGTTTTTGCAAAAGACCACGCCTATAATTTTCGGTGATGATCAGATAAAAATTTTTGGATAATGTGGACCACATACTTAATTTTTGTTTTTTTTTTTTTTCGAGTCGATCTATAGACAACAATTTAAAGCCGAACATCACAACACAACCCACGATGAAGGGAATCTGGACAAGTAATTACAAGGGCTGTACTGAGGGTTTAAATATCGCGAAATATTTCCCAAGCTCAGAATATAGAACCACAACAACTTAGATTTTCGTGGAAGTTGTGTAGGGTATCATATGGCCCCGTCCGACTATACTGCTCCGCTTACTGGTTTTAAATTATTTTTTTCAACCAAAAGATGAGACATTGATTTATAAAAAGTATTTTTTAAAGCCTAAAAATTCATTTTTTCAATCAACAATTCAGGTTTTAGTTTTTTTAATAATTTTTTAATTAAATAACAATTAAAATGTATTTTTCAAAAATCAGAGGCTTGTATTTTTTAAGAATTAATTTTATAAAGAGCAGCCATTTTTCAATGGCCAGTTCAAGGGCAGATTTTTTTGTAAGGCCATCATAGGCGTTCACTTTTTACAACTATTTTTTCTGAACATTTAAATAATTTTTTACCAGAGTCCAATAGAGGGAAGAACTTTTATAGAATACTTTTTTCATGAACAAACAGACCTAAGTTTCTTATGAAATATTTTTTCCAGGTCTCAAGAAAGCATGGGTGTTTTCCTATTGAATTGATTTTCCAAAAAAATATTTTTCTAAAGAAATTAATATTTTTGAAGGCCCCTGTAAAGTAATTTATTTAATTCGGTTGAATATATTTAAAGCATACTTTTACCGACCGAAGTTTCTTAGGAAATATTTTTCCAGGTCTCAAGAAAGCATTTCCTAAGGTCAACATGAAATTGATTTTCCAAAAAAATATATTTTTCTAAAGACAATTTGTTTCGAAGGCCAACATCTGAAATTTGAAAATTAATATTTTTGAAGGCCCCTGTAAGTAATTTATTTAATTCGGTTGAGTATATTTAAAGCATACTTTTAGAACCATCAACTAATTGTATGGGGAGCGTACCTTTAAGAGTTTTCTCATTACTTAATTAAAGAACGTTTTTCCAAGAACCAATAGACCGTCGATTTTTTAAATAATGTTATTTTAAGGTAAAAATAGTTTTTTAAAAAATCTACGCTCTGTTGGTAGATTTTTAAAAATATATATTTTACGTAAGCTAAACAAAAAAAAAAAAATTTATTAATAATTTTTTGAATACTTTTTTAAACAAATCATTTCAAAGCTGAAAAGGTGTGCATTTCATTCCTTTAACGATTTTTTCGAAGGTCAACCCTGTGTAGATTTATAAAATTCTGTTTCCGAAGCCCCCTGTACTCCATTTAATAAATTATATTTAATATATTTGAAGCATACTTTTAGGACCATCAATTAATAGTAATGGAAAGCGTAATTTTAGACGTTTTTTTTTATTTTTTATTGAAGGAATATTTTTTCAGGTACCAAAAGACCGTTAAAGAATAAAGATTTTTTTAAAGAATATTTTTTCGAAGACAACTAAGGCGTAGATTTTTTAAAGAATATTTTTTCGAGGACAGCTAAAGCGTAGATTTTTTAAAGAATATTTTTTCGAGGACAACTAAGGCGTAGATTTTTTAAAGAATATTTTTTTCGAGGACAACTAAGGCGTAGATTTTTTAGAGAATATTTTTTTTCGAGGACAGCTAAGGCGTAGATTTTTTAAAGAATATTTTTTCGAGGACAGTTAAGGCGTAGATTTTTTAAAGAATATTTTTTCGAGGACAGTTAAGGCGTAGATTTTTTAAAGAATATTTTTTCGAGGACTTGGACAGCCATAAGCGTGGATTTTTAAAGAATATTTTTTCTAAGACCAGGACAGCCATAAGAATGGGTTTTTAAAAAATATTTTTTCTAGGACAACAGGGTGTGGATTGTTTTTGAAGTACCCTGTATTTCATTTCATAAATTCTATTTAATATTTTTAAAGCATAATTTTAGGTCGTTCAATTAATTGTGGACAGAGAGTGTACTTTTAGGCCTTATATTTATTAATTATTTGTTAAAAATTATTGACAACAATATTTTTGAATTTATTTTCTTCATCTTCTTTATTTAACAAAAAATCACTTAAATTTTACTTAAAACAGACTTTGCAATTGACTCAATATATTATTTATATATACAAGTGTGTGTATATACATATTTTAAATCTATAAACTATAATAATAATTATTTTTATCATATAAAAAATTATAAAAAATAAAAACAAAATAAAAAATCCTTATAAAAATAATTCTTAAACAACTAGCAAGGTAAGCACTGGTCAACATTTTGTTTAGGCTAGACAATACAAAAAATTTGGTCAAAATAATTTAATTAATTAATGGAAATGTAATGAGGGTTAGTTGGAAATTGCACTACTGTGTCAGGTCTCCATCGCGCTATGACTGCTCATTTAAATCATTGGTGTATGTCCCCCGCGAGTTCAGTAGAGTATCGGAGACATTGTGTAACTCCAAGGGTTCCAAATTCCTCTTCTTACGATATTCTGTGGGACTTAACCACAGCTCCTTAATCATATCCGCACCCTTTTCCGCAATCATAATAACCGGGGCGTGAATGTTGCCATTTGTTATCGTCGGCATAATACTGGCATCGATGACCCTCAGGCCTGGTACACCATATACTCTAAGCTGAGGATCCACCACAGCCCAAGGATCTGTGGGTGGTCCCATTTTTGCCGTACCTGACATATGATAAATGGTCATGGTATATTGACGTATGGCGCAATTCCAATACTCATCGGTGTAGTGGGGTAAATGTTTACAATTCGGTAACTGTTTGGACCAGAAGCGAGCACCAAACCTCTTCATGGCTTTGGTTTCTCCCAAGGCGACAGCGGCCTTAACACCTTCCCTCATAACATTAACATCATCTGGATGAGTGAGATAATTGTGATAGAGTAGAGGATAGCGCAGCGGATTTTTCGATGCCAATTTCATAAAGCCTCTACTCTTAGGCCTGAGCATCATGGGGAAGACACCAAACACATCACGATTACTAACTTCTCCGAACATATAGTCATAGAATTCCTGAGTTAAACCATGAGCCTCCTTAACCTGGCTACCACCATCTGACATCACCGAGGCTGAGGTCATCATAAAACTAATATCGGGCCAGTCATCACTGGCATTGGCATATTTGGTGTTGATAAAGGCCACTGCTTCCAGGCCCACACTTGAAGTCAAAGGACCATCTTCGGTAATGGCATAACGCAATGCGGTATTAATGTTCACCATACGATTCATAACCACCGATATGGGATAATCGATAAGGAAGGCAATACCACCCACAGCAATGTGATCTTGTAGATTTTGCCCCACACCAGGGAGGTGATGGACCAAAGGCAGACCCACTCTTTGTAATTCATCTGCAGGGCCAATTCCCGACAACATCATTAGATGAGGTGAGCCAATGGCTCCAGCTGAGAGTATTACCTCCCTGGTGGCATAGGCCGTTTGCAGCTTGCCATTGCGTATAAATTGCACTCCTGTGGCTCTTTTCGTTTCGGGATGAGTCAGAACCTTGGTGACATGGGAAAACAAGGCCACATGAAGATTTTTTCTTAATCTTGCCGGTCTCAGGAAACATTTGGCCGCCGAGGCCCGGGAGCCCCTTCTCATATTGAATTGATAGAAACCAAAGCCAGTCTGTTGTTCACCATTTACATCCACAATATCATAGCCCATTTCTTCGCCAGCCTGTAAAAATGCCGGACCCAAGGGGGTGTTGTAGGGAGAGTCCTGGACAGTCCAAAGGCCACCTGGAATAAAATTATATTTATAAATTGAATTTAATTGTTCATTTATTTCATTCTCTACTAACCCGTCCCATGATATCTTTTATTCTTAGCCAAGTAGGGATTCCTTTGATCCTCCGATTTGCGGAAGTATGGCAAAATCTCCTCATAACTCCAGCCGGGGTTGCCAAATGAAGCCCATTGATCGAAGTCACGACGATTGCCTCGTATATACAACATGGTATTCAATACCGAACTACCACCCAAAACTTTGCCACGGGTCCAACAGCAGCGCTTATCCTTCATGGCCTGGCAGGCGGTGTTTTGGGGCTGGGTTCTGGAAAGAAAGCAGAAAATCGAAACCAAAAATGTAATTTTGACACTAATACAATGATGAAACAACAAAAACTACAACAAGAATTTTAATGGAATTAGAAAATAAAACATAAAAATATAAATATAAAAAATATAAAAAGTTTTTTTAAAGATATTTAAAAAAATTTTGTAAAGATATTAAAAAAAATATTTTTCAGGGTCTAGAATAGGTTTAGATTTTTTAAAAAATACTTTTTCAGAGACTAAAATAGGCGTAGATTTTTTAATGAATATTTTTTCAAGGACTAGAATAGGCGTAGATTATTAAAGAATATTTTTTAAGGGACTAGAATAGGCGTAGATTTTTTAAAGAATATTTTTTCAGGGTCTGATAAGGCGTAGATTTTTTAAAGAATATTTTTAGAGGATAAGGCGTAGATTTTTTAAAGAATATTTTTAGAGGATAAGGCGTAGATTTTTTAAAGAATATTTTTAGAGGATAAGGCGTAGATTTTTTAAAGAGAAACTTTTCAGGTTCTGATAAGGCTTAGATTTTTTAAAGAATATTTTTTCAGGGTCTGATAAGGCGTAGATTTTTTAAAGAATATTTTTTCAGGGTCTGATAAGGCGTAGACTTTTTAAAGAATATTTTTTCAAAGACCAACAAGACGTAGATCTTTTAAAGAATATTTTTTCAAAGACCAACAAGGCGTAGGTTTTTTAAAGAATATTTTTTCAAAGACCAACAAGGCGTAGGTTTTTTAAAGAATATTTTTTCAAAGACCAACAAGGCGTAGATTTTTTAAAGAATATTTTTTCAAAGACAAACAAGGCGTAGATTTTTTAAAGAATATTTTGTCAGGGCATGATAAGGCGTAGATTTTTTAAAGAATATTTTTTCAGGTCCTGATAAGGCGTATATTTTTTAAAGAATATTTTTTCAGGGTCTGATAAGGCGTAGATTTTTTAAAGAATATTTCCTTAGAGGCCAAGAAGGCGTAGATTTTTTAAAGAATATTTTCTTAGAGGCCAAGAAGGCGTAGATTTTTTAAAGAATATTTTTTCGAGGACAGCTAAGGCGTAGATTTTTTAAAGAATATTTTTTTGAGGACAGCTAAGGCGTAGATTTTTGAAAGAATATTTTTTCAAAGACCAACAAGGCGTAGATTTTTTAAAGAATACTTTTTCAAAGACCTAGAAAGTGTAGATATTTTAAAAAGAATATTTTTTCAAAGACCTAAAAGGCGTAAATTTTTTAAAGAATATTTTTTCAGAGACTAGAATAGGCGTATATTTTTTTAAGACTATTTTTCAGGCACTAGAATAGGCGCAGATTTTTTTAAAGACTATTTTTCAGGCACTAGAATAGGCGCAGATTTTTTAAAGAATATTTTCTTAGAGGCCAAGAAGGCGTAGATTTTTTAAAGAATATTTTTTCAAAGACCAAGAAGGCGTAGATTTTTTAAAGAATATTTTTTAAAAGACCAAGAAGGCGTAGATTTTTTAAAGAATATTTTTTCGAGGACAGCTAAGGCGTAGATTTTTTAAAGAATATTTTTTCGAGGACAGCTAAGGCGTAGATTTTTTAACGAATATTTTTTTGAGGACAGCTAAGGCGTAGATTCTTTGACGAATATTTTTTTGAGGACAGCTAAGGCGTAGATTTTTTAAAGAATATTTTTTTGAGAACAGCTAAGGCGTAGATTTTTTAAAGAATATTTTTTCAAAGACCAACAAGGCGTAGATTTTTTAAAAAATATTTTTTTGAGGACAGCTAAGGCGTAGATTTTTTAAAGAATATTTTTTCAAAGACCAACAAGGCGTAGATTTTTTAAAGAATATTTTTTCAAAGACCAACAAGGCGTAGATTTTTTAAAGAATATTTTTTCAAAGACCAACAAGGCGTAGATTTTTTAAAGAATATTTTTTCAAAGACCAACAAGGCGTAGATTTTTCAAAGAATATTTTTTCAAAGACCAACAAGGCGTAGATTTTTTAAAGAATATTTTTTCAAAGACCAACAAGGCGTAGATTTTTTAAAGAATATTTTTTCGAGGACAGCTAAGGCGTAGATTTTTTAAAGAATATTTTTTCGAGGACAGCTAAGGCGTAGATTTTTTAAAGAATATTTTTTCGAGGACAGCTAAGGCGTAGATTTTTTAAAGAATATTTTTTCGAGGACAGCTAAGGCGTAGATTTTTTAACGAATATTTTTTTGAGGACAGCTAAGGCGTAGATTCTTTAACGAATATTTTTTTGAGGACAGCTAAGGCGTAGATTTTTTAAAGAATATTTTTTTGAGAACAGCTAAGGCGTAGATTTTTTAAAGAATATTTTGAGAACAGCTAAGGCGTAGATTTTTTAAAGAATATTTTTTGAGGACAGCCAAGGCGTAGATTTTTTAAAGAATATTTTTTCAAAGACCAACAAGGCGTAGATTTTTTAAAAAATATTTTTTCAAAGACCAACAAGTCGTAGATTTTTTAAAAAATATTTTTTTGAGGACAGCTAAGGCGTAGATTTTTTAAAGAATATTTTTTCAAAGACCAACAAGGCGTAGATTTTTTAAAGAATATTTTTTCAAAGACCAACAAGGCGTAGATTTTTCAAAGAATATTTTTTCAAAGACCAACAAGGCGTAGATTTTTTAAAGAATATTTTTTCAAAGACCAACAAGGCGTAGATTTTTCAAAGAATATTTTTTCAAGGCCATATCAAGGCGTAGATTTTTCAAAGAATATTTTTTCAAAGATCAACAAGGCGTAGATTTTTCAAAGAATATTTTTTCAAAGATCAACAAGGCGTAGATACTTTCTTAGATGCCAAGAAGGCGTGGATTTTTTAAAGAATATTTTTTGAGGACAACTAAGGCGTACATTTTTTAAAGAATATTTTTTGAGGACAACTAAGGCGTAGATTTGTTAAAGAATATTTTTTTGAGGACAACTAAGGCGTAGATTTTTTAAAGAATATTTTTTGAGGACAACTAAGGCGTAGATTTTTTAAAGAATATTTTTTGAGGACAACTAAGGCGTAGATTTTTTAAAGAATATTTTTTCAAAGACCAACAAGGCGTAGATTTTTTAAAGAATATGTTTTCAAATACCAAGAAGGCGTAGATTTTTTAAAGAATATTTTTTCAAAGACCAACAAGGCGTAGATTTTTTAAAGAATATTTTTTCAAAGACCAACAAGGCGTAGATTTTTTAAAGAATATTTTCAAAGAGGCCAAGAAGGCGTAGATTTTTTTAAAGAATATTTTCATAGAGGCCAAGAAGGCGTAGATTTTTTAAAGAATATTTTCATAGAGGCCAAGAAGGCGTAGATTTTTTAAAGAATATTTTCATAGAGGCCAAGAAGGCGTAGATTTTTTAAAGAATATTTTCATAGAGGCCAAGAAGGCGTAGATTTTTTAAAGAATATTTTCATAGAGGCCAAGAAGGCGTAGATTTTTTAAAGAATATTTTCATAGAGGCCAAGAAGGCGTAGATTTTTTAAAGAATATTTTCATAGAGGCCAAGAAGGCGTAGATTTTTTAAAGAATATTTTCATAGAGGCCAAGAAGGCGTAGATTTTTTAAAGAATATTTTCTTTGGGGCCAACAAGGCGTAGATTTTTTAAAGAATATTTTCATAGAGGCCAAGAAGGCGGGGATATTTTAAAGAATATTTTCATAGAGGCCAAGAAGGCGGGGATATTTTAAAGAATATTTTCATAGAGGCCAAGAAGGCGGGGATATTTTAAAGAATATTTTCATAGAGGCCAAGAAGGCGTAGATTTTTTAAAGAATATTTTTTCAAAGACCAAAAAGGCGTAGATTTTTTAAAGAACAGTTTTTCAAAGACCAACAAGGCGTAGATTTTTTAAAGAATATTTTTTCAAAGACCAACAGGGCGTAGATTTTTTAATGAATATTTTTTCAAAGACCAACAAGGCGTAGATTTTTTAAAGAATATTTTTTCAAAGACCAACAAGGCGTAGATTTTTTAAAGAATATTTTCATAATGGCCAAGAAGGCGAATATTTTTTTAGAGATACTTTTCAGATTTCCCCAAAACTTCCATAACGAACCTCTTCGAATATCATTAACAAATTCGTGTTTGCCTCCAATTTGTCTCTTCAAAATTTCTTTGTAGTCTTGTCATAGCCATTTATGGCCTATTATTATTTTCTAAATATCTCTCCATCGAGATATTTGTTTATCAAGCTGTCATAATTGCCGAATGGCATCACTTTCAAGTCAGCCTCTTGCGGCTAATTAGCTATGCGAAAAAATATTTCGCACCGTTGTAAAAAAATTTGCATATTGCTTATGACATAATAACATAGATTATTCAATGGGTCCATGTGCGGAGAAATTAATCAAAGGTTATTAGTTACAAAAAAAAAAAGAAGAGACGAGAAACACGCGATCACTTTTATCAGTTTGAGTCATTCATTCATTGATATATCGAATTGGGGTTCGTGCTTCTCGAAAGAAATTGGAGATGATAATTACCTATGGATGATAGTTTGTACTTTAGATTTCGAACAAGGTCCAAGGTTCTTCAGATTTTCTTTTTTTTCGTTTTCAAAATCCGCACATCTATCTGATATCTTAAAATTAAAATATTTAAAAATAATCTGCAAATTAGAATCTGACAAGCTTTCAAAAATTTTATTTTATTTAAAAAAAGTTTTCAGGGAACAGAGAATGCGTAGATTTTTTTTAAATATTTTTAGGATCTAGCATAGAATTTAATATAATAAAATATTCATAGGGACTAGCGTAGATTTTTAGAAAAAAATTTTTAGAGGCTTGTAAAGCCCAGATTTTTTCAAATATATTATTGAGAGCTTTAAAGAAAATAATTGAAAGGAAAATGATTTCATATTCAAATCACCACTCACTTCAAATACCTTCATTGGTGAACCCATTCCCATGATTTTATGTTTCCAATACCTTTCATTATTAACAAATTATTACAATTTTATTTCAATTATTGCCATTCATCGACTGTTTTATATTCATAATTTTATTTC